TATTAATTATTTTTAATAATTAAGTTAAATGAAATTAATTTTTAAAAATATAATATTATAACAAATTTAAGATACCTTTATAAAATTTTGTGTGGCATAATTCAACTGTTACTTAATTACTAGGGAGTTTTCAAAAAATTAAAAATGAAATCTTGAAAATTTTCGAGGGATGAAATGATTAGGGTTACCATGCATGCATCAATTCAAGCAATCCCATCCATCCAATCCATCAGCATAAAATCAGATATTGATGGAGCCATGGGATTTCTGACATGTCATGCTCGGATTTTGAGAGAAGTTCACAGGCTTTACATCAAATCATCTCATCAATCTGCATGCTTGTGTCTTTCCATCCCGCTGCTGCTTCTATCATCCATCTCCAATTTGCCCAATTCCATGGCCCTTTTTTCTAGTTGTCAAGGCTTCTCTAACAGTAGTTTCCCAAATAGGCCAAAAAATACCCCCATGATCTTCTCCCATTTTGGCCCTCCTCAATCAATCCCCCATTTGAAACCCTCCCTCTTTCTTCTTCTCTCCCAAATGCTAACCAGACGGTAGCTAGCTAGCACCAGCTGCATTTACTTCTCTTGCTCCCTTGTTCGATTTTTTTTAAAAATTTACATGTAATAAATTTGGGAAATGCAAATTCATTTTATAAAAGTCAATTTGCCATTTTTGATACCTTTAATCTAAACTTTGCATACAAAGCTTAGCAAATACACGACATCTTGATACATTTGGACTTCACAATTTAATAATTATAAGTTGAGTTTTAAAGTGTATCTCTTTAATTTAAAATTTTAAATTTAAATCTTTCATCCTAAATGTAAATTGATTCAAAACAAAAAAATACATGAGATATCGAAGGATTAGTTTAATATTCAACAACTATGTGAAATGTGTATTTCGAGGAGAAGTGAAACGATCTCAAGACCAACTTGAGAAATAGTGTAGTTTTAACCAATTGGGTTAATAGATCAAATATAACATATCACTAATTTTTTAACTAACCAATACATTATCATCCTAACTACATGTTTGTTGATTATTAATTAAAAATAAAGTATTTGACCCAAGAATTTGTAAAAAAATAAAATAAAATCACATGTGACATCAGAAGAGAGTAGCTTATTAACACTAAACAGCATTCTCCCCTGGCTCGCACTGCCCAATTCTAAAAACCAGCCCCATATAATAACAGTAAGGTACAGCAGTTGACCTTTCTTTTAAATATAATTATTTCTTGTTTAAAATAAAAAAAATTCATAAAAATAAAAATAAAAATGTCAACATTTTTAACATTAAAATATGAAAAAAATATCAATCTCAATTCTAAAAATATTATAATTTTAAATTATAT